GAGTTACTCTGCTACATAACAGCCCACCCTTCCATGTTGATGTTATTATTGCAGCCTGTGGTCTCATTAAGAAAATGTGTTCTGCTCAACCTCTATTAACAGTGAAGGCCTGTGGATTCTGTATGTTCCTAAAATAAAGAAGACTATGGGCTACACTGCCAACATTTTACATTTTGATTTTAAAAAACTATTTATTTTTTTGTTTATTCCTACTTCTTTCTTAAAAGGATTGGAGTCTGCTTACAATGACAATATTTCCCTCTTTTGTTTTCTTTGCTTTTTGTTATTTATAGTACAGAAACATTTCATTTTTCTATTTTTCAAGCTTACAGTTTCTTTGGTAATACTGTTCTGTAATTTTATGAAATCTGTATAAAATATTACAAAAATCTTTAATATTTATCTCTTTCTGCAGTTGGGCCAAATACTCTACAGAGTGGCCAACTATGGCTGTGGACCAAGTCTGGCCAGCCACCTGGTTTTGTAAATTGAGTTTTATTGCAACACTGCTGTGCTCATTTGTTTATTATTGTCCATAGCTGCTTTTGTGCTCAAGGGCAGAGTTGAGTAGCTGCGACAGAAACCATAGAGCCCGCAAGGCCAAAAATATTTACTATCTAGTCTTTTATAGGAAACATTTGCTCACCCCTGCTCTAGTCCATAGTCTAGTAAATTTTTTAAAATATTATCTTACCTAGTGAACTTATCCTGATTGGCACTGTGTGCTGCTGTGTAGCAAGAATCTTTGTTAATTCTTCTCTGTACCAGTGTCACCCGGCTTTCACTGAGCTCCCAGACTCACCGGTATCTACCCCACCTGCAAAGGCTGCTCTTTCCTCTCTGTCCCATCCAGGGAGCTCAGCCCCATTACTTGATTCCCATCCTCCAACACAGTACACAAGTTGGTGTGGAAGTCTTGGCTGAAAGTTGGGGGTGACTGAAATAAGGCAAACAACTTCATATTGAGGACTAGACAGCTAACTCTGAAAATCCCTCTGCCAACATCCTCCCACCCCCATTAGGAATACTTTCTCGATCATCTTGCTGTTCAGGTCTTTGCCATATTGTTTGGGCCATTTCTTCCTCAACACCCACCTCATATCTGAATCCGCCCCCTTCATCTCGGAGAGCAAGCATGCTCTCTGCTCCTAACTCCCATAGTATGCCTGTTCACCCTCTAACACTGGTCCGTACCAGGTATAGAAAAATAACTAAAATATGAGAAGGAACATTTTTTGTGATGCAGGAAGAACCTTGCTTGCTTAGGCTTCAGCTTTTTATAAAGAGGGACATCAACTTGTAGAACATTCGTGGCTTCTCTCTACCCCTCACTCATTTTTCCTCAAGGGGAAAGGGTATATTGGTAAGTTGGGAATAAGGACTGAGCCTGTTGTCCCATCCCCAGTCTCTTTCTTCTGGGACACAGCTAACCAGAAGCCCATACTCTGGTCTTGCAGTTTGGTGAGAGAAGTTCAACTCAGGGGGAATGAGGTATTTGATACATGGGGTGGGACCACTGATAAGGAGTGGAATTTGATGAGCAGGATAACTCTTGTATATGGAAGCTTTGGTAGGCCAGGTCATGTGTCTTAAGGATACGGATTTGAGTGAGAGTGATGGTTTATCTGGCAGGTGAGCTTAGAATCCACCTGTAGGGCAGTGGGGAAGGGAATGTAGACAATTAAAGATGCATTATCAAGCCAGCTCCCACTGTGGGCGATTAGAACTTAATCCCACAGTAAATTCTGGAAATGGTGTAGAGCATGCACCTCAGAGTTATCCTACCAGAGAGATGAAAGAGATGAGGTATTTTTACACCAACCCTTGTCAATCATTGATTGAAGGCTGCTCTTGTGGCTGACTTTTAAGGCAGGTCTGACCTGGCCCACATATTAAAGCATAGATCTCTTTGTGATGAGAAAATATAAGCATCCCAGACCTGTGGGAAAAACTACCACATCAGCAAAGATCCTCGCAGTGTTAAAACAGTGCTAAGGACACACCTCTGTATCCAAAATGCGTATTTCATGGAATAAGGGGTTGAAACTGGCAAGGAGATTGGAAGAATGATTATTTATACAGAAATAGCAGAAGATCCTAGAATCCTGGAAATATCACCTCCTTGGCTATAGTGCTTAACATAATCATTTGAAATATGTTTAAATCAAGGCATTTTAATAATCTGGGCGGGACTTGTAGGTGTTTTGGGTTTTTGTCAAAAGTGGTCACAAACAAGTTACATTTTTAAAAGAGCTTTTATAGAACAATCATAAATAGTGTACTTAATGTGTAGAGTTGTGCCCATTAAGGCAGCCCCATGTCAGTGGGTTGCCCGTGTCCAGATTTGGTGACTGCTCACAGATCACTTGGTGTCCAACTGGCCTTTTTCATGGCCTTTCAGTAGAACATGGAATCCCCTCAAAATGACCTCTAATAATGTCCAGTTCCGGTGCAGTGATGTCCATCACCATGGATCTGGGAGACTTCGATGTCTATAGGAGTTGGAATTCTGAGTTGGCCAGTGGAATCTATGGCATTGAGACCAAAGAGAAAATAGATCGGGGGCCCTCCAGGTATGACATCTGCTTTTATTGTTGTGAAATAGCATAAAGAATATTGGACTCTGGACTGCTGGCTGAATACTTCTTTCTGTCCCCGCAATGGGGTACTTAATAATGGCAAACTTGATGGTGATTGTGATGAATTCAATCTTAAAACCCAAAGAATAAACTTCAATCCTAAAATTCAGGTGGACACATGAAGCTCAAACTTGGGAATCAAATCTCCTAAATGCCAGGTTTCTCTACTTTTATCATCATGGACAAAATCAGAACTGAGCCCATAAAGAACAGAATTTGAACACTCAATTACACTATGAGGAAGAGATTGAATTTCTTTTAGAACTGAATGGAGGCATCTGTTTTGTTTAAATTAAGGGTCTGTAAGTACCAGTCAGGGACCAAGTTGACAGCCATTCCTGTAATAAAGTAATAAATCACAGAGATGGTTAAGGAAGCAAGAAATACCACATTCTTCCTTTGCTGAACCAATTAAGCAATAAGCCATCTGGGTCTTTTTGTTAATTACTGTCAAACACAACTTATACAATTGAATTCAGCCTTTTATTTAATTATATTAATTTATTCCAGCAACTTCAAATACCCACAGTGCCAATAATAAAGTGCCTTTAAAAAAAATAGAGGTCTTGTTTAATTTTTATTTTTCAACCATTAACACCCTTTTTACAAGGTTGTCGTCTGAGAATTATTAGCTTTGTCTCCACCTCAAGAGATTAGAGGAATTTGTTTTAAATATAGACAAGCCTAAAAGAAGAAGACAATGGCTGAAACTTCTCCTGATGGGAGGATGAGTCTACCTAGATCAGTGTTATCCAATAGAACTGCTCGCAGTGATAAAATGTTCTGTATCTCTGCTCTCTAATGCAATAGCCCCTAGCCACATGTGCCTATTGAGCACTTGAAGTGTTACCAGTACAACTGAGGAGCTGAGTTGGCATTTTCTTTAATTTGAATGCATTTACACTTAGATAGCTGCATACGGCTAGTGGCTACTAGCACAGGTCAAAAGTGTCTTCTGAGGATGAAGAAGTGCAGTGCGTCCTTGACTTCAGTAGGTGGAGAAGGAATACATAATTATGGTAGGTATTGTTTGGAAACCCTCACTTCCTACCTAGTTTTCCTTATTTGAAACACACTGTATTTTGAAACAGACCAAAGGAGACCAGCATCTTTGAGGGGAGGTTTCCACACTGAGCAGGTCATATTGAGGCATATAAATGTATTAGATTTAATCTAGAATCCCTGGAAGAGAAATGGGCATGAATGGTGTCTTCTGAACAGCAGAACCAACCCCACTCAGCAACTCTTTTGGTCAAACTAGGCCAGGTCACTGCAAGGAGAGGCAATCGGCTCTTGCTAGCTTGGCTCTGCTCTAGTGGAGGTATTTTCTCCCCATAGTTGTCCGTGTTCAACCTGTGGGCACACTTGGGGTCTCAGACAGTTCCCACAAGCTCAGAAATGGCCCTGTCAGCCCTCATGAACATTAACATACCCAACTCTGGTTCCTCTTATAAGAATTTTGGCTCAGACACTGGCATTTCCCCCTCAGGGAGGTTTGCCTCTTTGCAAAGGTTGTTATTTCTGATCCAGTCAATACGAACCCTGTAACAGGGCATCGAGAGAGTTTCTCAGGTGTGCGCACTTCTGTTAGTGGAAATCCTCAGCCTGAGCTGACTCTTTCAAAGACGAATGACTAAAGAGAAGCATATTGCATCAGAATCTGGTTGTGGTTAACCAAATTAGAGAAGGGAATGGAGGTAGAAAGTTCTAAGGAAATTATCATTAACATGAAAAGGTCCTATCCAAGGTTTACTGACTCTTTTCAGCTGCTGGGCTGAGCTGGAGAATTGGTCCAAAACTCTCTTCCATCTTCTCTCCAACTCTACTCTTCTCTCAATAGCTTCCTTTCCTTCTTCTGAGCTATGGCTCAACTGATAACATGAAATCTGTCCTAATAAGCCTAATCCAAAGTTTTTGGTAGGTCAGGCCTCTCTTTACACTTTAATTTTCATAGTTGGCTACCCAGACAATCCAAGGTAAGGCCATTTAAAATAAATTGATCAATTGGATTTATCCTGGAAGTGCTACCAAAGACTGTCCAGGCCTCTTTTCTTAGTCAGAGATAAAAGCAATTACTATCACATGCCAAATGGAAGGAAATGAAGAATCTTCTGTACTATGTAATGATCATCTACCAGTGATGAAGACAATGAATACGTTTTTTTTGTTTTTCTTTTTCTAAAACAGCCAGCAGTCAATGGCATAGGTGCGAGAAGGAAAAGATTTTCTATATTTCTCATGGAGCCTTCTGCTCTACTATCCAAAGGAGTACAAACATAGAGGATCAGCTTCATGAAATATGCATGCTTTCTCAGTTCTCTTGGGGCTAAACTGTGAGGGCCAATCTTCTCTTTTCCTTCTGACACTGGCATTCATCGTTCATCCACAGGCCTGACGTTGTCAAATCGCCACAGCTGGCTGGCTTTTCCATCACACTGGCGCAAGTACAAATCTTTATTGTTTTCCTGCACCACAGCTTCCATGCATTTCCCAGAAAGAATGTGAACAATCATTCCATTCTGAAAAGTGAGAGGGGAGAAAAAAGAAAACCAGTCAATCCTTCTCAGTCAGCCAGTGAAGAAGGAAATTTCTAAGATTTGTGCTAATCATTAGGCAAATAATGGAAGTAATGTGAACTGAATAATAGAGGATAAGGAACTATCGTATTTTGGTTAAAGTCTAATGCAATTTAGGTAGTTCTGAAATTTCAATATCATTCAGAGCCTTGGGGCCATTGATTCAATTATCTTCTCTGTGGTTGGGTGATTATGCCTTAGCTTAGAGAGTTCTGGTTAGTAGAATGCCCACCGTGAAATTCCTGTTCAGCCTCTCTAGTGTATTGGTGACATTCATTGTTATCAATGACTTGTAAATGTCTACTTTCAAAACGATTTAATCTGTGCCCTTTATTAATCCTGCAATTTAGTGCTGCTGCCACCAGGTTACAGTAGAGAGTAAGATTTTAAAGATATACTGAAGGCCTAAGTCATCCATGTTTAAAAGACTATTTCAGATTTACACCCTAACTTATCCCAAGAAGGAGTTGAGGTGGAGAAAAAGCTGCGTGTGGATGCTTAAAGTTGAGACTGTCACCTTCCTGTCCCACATCTCTGTGGGGGACCCATGAACTCTCCCTAAGTACTTACATTTTACTTATTGCCTTTTTATTGATGCATAACTTCTGAAAAGGATCTAGAGCTTCTATCCCTTGGGTAATACGAATCAAAGTCTTACTGAAAGGATGAGGTGTCTACAGTGGAACTTGCAAAGGAAGAAACTGATACCTGTATCGATACCTATGTTGGTGGTGGAGGAGGGGAGAGCCTTTCCATTCTGAAACCACACTAACGAGGGGGTTGACTGCTTCTATAATGTACTCCATGGTCCTACTTGTGACCTGAGCTAATAAACTTCAAAAAGGGGCTGTCTCCACTCTCCGCCACAAACAAGGTCAGAGCTATACAGAAACATGGCAAATTAGTACATTTCAAGATTCTGGTGGCCAATATTTCTACCAAGTTGGCTTTACCTCCCCGAGGCCTTAGTGCCAAGCCACTAATTTAAACAACAGAGGCACAGGTCTGAATGGTAATATTTGACCTCTTGGAAGAGCTTGGGACACAGCGCCGACCACCAGCACTGCCAAGTTCTTCTGAATGGATTACTGACCTCCTGTAAGTCCCAGTGCTGCTGATGGATGGCAGGGCCTTCTGCGGTGCAGTTCTGAAGAATCACCTGCTCTCGCCTGACATCGAAGCACAGGTGTTGTGGGCTGCCAAAGTGGATCTCCTTCCTGCCGGGGTGATCCAGATGCTGGGAGAGAGGAAACAAGGGTTAGCACAGCTAGAAGGAGATGTTCTCCAAAGCTGGAGATGAGGGGAGCAGAGCTCACAATAAAGCTGAAGTCTAGAGGCAATCTTCAGATATTGGGGCGAGGGTGGAAGGTGGTCAATAAGACTGTATCTCATAGTCAAGTCCACAAACGTGTTACTCGACTAGCCCTGGCCTCTGACATTTCCATACTCCAGCTGCTCTCACATTCATATTTGTAAATCCATTATTTTATTTACTGCATCATAGGTGAGGCCATAAAGAATGCTGTGTGCTTTGTGAGTGTACTACTGAAAGGACAGATGAGGAACTCCTCTGAGTCCCAAGTCAGTCACTTTCTAGAGAGATCTGACCCGGCCCTGCAACTGATTTTCTTGCTGTTTGTTGCATCTGCTGACTGTCGCTCATGGTGGTTATTTCCACTGGTGTTTTGGAGTATTGGGTTGTGCGTACCTTTGCAGGTGGGCTTTAGCTGTGGGAAGTGTGTGTGCCCGGGATGAAGGGCACATCCTGACACCATTTTCTGTTTGTTCCTGTCAAGTGCAGCCCGAACTAATTTTTATGTTAGTTTTGTGGCTTGGAGACAGGGTCAGCTACGTGGGCATGTGACCTGTGTCATCCAAAGGGGCCTCATGCTTAGAAGGGTTTAGTGTTCTTGGTTTAATACACTTGGTTTAATGCTGTACTGCACTGTCTTGAAATTCTTACTAAATGCTGAATTAGAGGTCTGACCTTTTCATGTTGCTCCGGGCCCCGCAAATTAGGTAGCCACATTACTTGACCTCTTCGCTTTATATCGGTGTCCTCCCATGTGCCAGGTGTGAGTGCCTATCGATGTGTTCTGGAAGATTGGTGGAAGGCAAAGCTGAAGAGGCTGAATGGGTCCTGAGCATCGGCTTCCCCCAGGGTCCGGGGCCTGCACTGCCCGGGGCCTGCGCTATACACCCATGAGCAGCACCTCTGGCTCAAGGACTGGCCTCTCCCTCTGGGTAGCACACCTGCCAGTCATGCTCAGCATTTCTCTTTGGATGCCCTTTGGGCCATAAGCTTTTGGTGTCGCCAGGGCAGCCCCATCTCTCTTGTGTACTGAGGACTGCAGTGACACTGCAGAGTGGGGCCTCGGGGAAATCTATGGAGTTGGTCTTCAGCACAGTCTCTTGTCCCTCCCCACACAAGCCATCAGAGCCTCCATTCTGGGGAGAGGCTCCCAGGAGGACTCAAGTGCTGTTTCCCTCCTCTCCTCAGGGGCATTTATACTCTTTGCTTCCTTCTCACTGTGGAAGCCTCCTCCCTGTGGAAGGAATTTCACAACAAAATTGCTCTGCCTCTGGGAAATGATCTGAACGAAGCCAGTGCTCTGAAAACCAGAGCCAATGGCTCCATCTGTTCTGTGTGTAAGTCTCCTCTGGCAAGTGGAGCAGCTGGTCACCTGAGGCCGTGAGGCTTGTCTGCTCCAAATCCAGTCCTCCCCTTCCCCCTCAAACTCACACACACACACACACACACACACACCCCACACACACGCACACCAGGCTCCTGTGGTGCCCTAAAGGTCCCCCTCTGGGATAAAGTGTTGGTTCTCATAGATCCCCATGAAATACTTGGAAGACACAACACATCTCCTCTGGGCAGGACTCAGCATCAGAGAACTTGAGACCTAAGACTCTGAGTCACATGTCATGAGTTTGAGGCACCACTGGAAATGAGGAACATTCTCCAGGTTCCCTTGCACTGTCAGTGTTGCTGAGCCTATAGCCCCTACTTGGTGACTCAATCTCCCCACCTCAGGTTCTAGTTGGCTAATGATCTCAGGCTGGTCCTGATGTTTCATAAATGGTGCCCTGATGGAAGTTTGCGTGCATACAGCTTTTATTCTTCCCCTGATTATAGTTTTTAATTTTAATAGGGAGCTTTTTTGTAAATTCTGGATTTTGAATCTTTGGAAATGTTGGGTGATCTCAGAATGCTGGGCCCACTTTCATCCAAAACAAGACAATTTGTTGAGGCTGGGGCAGGAGCAGCTTCCCTGCATACGGGCGTGTGCTCCTCAGTCACAACAGCTTCCACCCAGCTCAAGGCGCTCATTTCCTTTACCTGTCTGAACCCTGATGGCCATCGTTTAAGCTTCAGTTTCCTCATCTGTCAGATAAAAGCATCCGCTCAATGTCCTCTCCATTTCCCTCGAGCTCATATTCTCATATTCTCTGATGATGGTCCATGTCTGTGCTTGCAGCTAGGGGTGGGGTGGGCAGGGCTGGGATGGGTTATTACAGTGGCAGATTGTGAGCCATCGAGGGACATGGGACCACTGAAAGGAGATGCCCCAAAGGGAAGTGAAGGGCATCCCAGGAAAGACCACTTGCAGGTCTTCCCTGGTTATTACCCTGAGAACGCTGACCACCCACCTGTTGCCGCCGGTTGTCACTGCAAGGAGCCAGCACCAGGGCGCAACCCAGGAGGTCCCCTTCTGCCTGGCAGTCTGCACAGAAGCCCAGTCCAGTGTTGTGGAGCTGAAAGTGGACATCCATAAGGAAGTGAGTACTGCCCTCCAGGTAAGACACCCTCTCCTTCACTTTCTGGAGTGTAGCTCAAGGTGCCATGTTCAGGCCACAAAAATGAGTGAGATCAAGCTGAAGCCACTGATCTTAAGGGACAGGCCTCCTGAAGGAGGCAGGCAGCACCTGTCCTGGTGAGGGGCTCTGGGATGGGTTATGGGGCAATCCAGTCACCTCCCTCAGGGCAGGCAGGGAAGCCTCTGCGGCCCTGCTGAGCTTGGATTGGTTGGCCAGGGTCATGGAAGACCATCGGAACATCCAGTTCCTGTCTTGGGAAGCTGCCCACCCCTCCTCTTCCTCCTCATCTTCCCTGGGTCACGCCTTGCCTTTCCAGAGAACCTGGGCCTGCGTTCAGATGGGTACAGCTCAGGGTAGACATTGGCCAGAAACCAGTGGAACGTTCGACAACCCAGTCTCCTTTGCAGCTGCAGGCGTTCTGTGCAGTCCGGCTTCTCAACCTGGGGGAGGAGAAGGACACGGGCAGTGAGATGGAGAAAGCCTGTTGGACATCAGAACTTATGTGGTAGAGGAGGGATAGAAGTGGCAGAAGTTGAAGGAATGGGACAGAATGAGGGGACTGAGACCATGTTTCCCCAGAGCTGCAGATGGGGGAGAGGGCCAGGTGTTAGGATAAGAGGGTTTAGATGGGACAGAGCAGGATGGGTCTTCCTCAGAGAGAGCTGTGGAACCAGCAGCCCATGGTAGGTGATGTCACTTCCTTCCCACAAGCCCTCACATTTTCAGTCTACAAAGACCATGGCCAGGCCGGTGCGGCTCAGTGGTTGAGCATCGACTTATGAACCAGAAGGTCATGGTTTGATTCCTGGCCAAGGCGTATGCTCGGGTTGCCGGCTTGATCCCCAGTAGGGGGCGTGCAGGAGACAGCGGACCAATGATTCTCTCTCTCCCTTCCACACTCTGAAATTTTAAAAAATTAAATTAAATTTNATCGTTGATGTTTCTCTCTCCCTCTCCCTTCCACACTCTGAAATTTTAAAAAATTAAATTAAATTTAAAAGACCATGAGATCTATGCTTTGATGACTTTTCCGAGTCAGTTGGCAAAATATATGGGGCTTTGCACCTTAAGTTGGTGTGGAACAAACACCATGATGGGCCTCGTGGAGGCAGAAACCGACCCAAAGGCAACTGAGATGAACTAAGCTGGAAAATTGCGGAGTGAAGGTGGGGACAAGGGGAATTGACCTTTCTTCCCTGCTAGGTGCCCAATCTCCTCCATTAACAAATCATTCCTTTGGGCTACACGATCCTCCTATTTTGAGAATCTCCTTTATAATACAATTGTCCTTGGATGGATATCAAAGTAAGTCCTTATGACTTTAGTTTAAATTAATGTTTTAGGCTGTATTGATACAAAGAAACCTACCTGGAAGTTTAGTACTAAATCCTGGATATTTTTAGGGAAGAGAAGTGCTAAGGAGAAATTCAAAGGACCAAAAACAAACAAAAAGAGAGATCTAATTATTTCCTGGGATGGGAAGAAGAAAAGAGAGGGAGCTGGAATGGGAAGCCTGTCAGAGTTCTGACTTGGCCTCTAGCCTGGAAATTAGACACTGTTCCCAGTGGCCATGGGAGGCGAGTTTGATTTGATTTTCCTTTACTCCCTCTCTTAGTCCTCGGGTATAAATGTTGGGAAGAGTAGGGTCTGAGTCTGCCATACCGAAATGCTCTCTACATGCCTCTCAAAGTGTGATCCCCTGGGCACCTCGCTCAGAAATGCCCAAGGAACTTGTTTAAAATGCAGGTTCCTGGGCCCTCACCCACAGACTCGGATTCAGAAGGTCAAGGTATTTAATCAGCACTTAACCCTTTATCCACAGAGGGTTTGAGATCAACTTCTCTAAGTCAGGAATTTCTTGTTTATTCAGCATATTTACCCATCATTAAACCAAAGAGAGCTGTCACTGTTTCCTCCAAGGAATGACTATAGCTTTTTGACAGTTTCTTGGCATTCTTAGTGTCCATTTGAGTCCTCCCAGCTCTTCTCCAGGCCTGGACTTTGCTACTAAAGCAAAAACATTCCTTCATGAGAGTTCCAGCGTCTTCACCTTCCTTGGTGATGAGACAAACTGGCAAATCTACCCAGCGGCAAATGTGGGGGCATGCTAACAATGAACTTGTACAACCATGTCTGACAGAGGAGAAAACAAGAGAACCTCAACTCCTTCAGCACTGGAGCCCCAGCCTTGTCTTTGGGTGACTGGGATTTCTGTATCTCAAAATTCAAGTAAGGGATTGGGGGGTGAGGCAGGAAGGGGGGTGGAAGGATAGGAATCGCTGGAGCAAAATTAATTTTTATTTATTTAGATTTAAAGTAAATGCATGCTATTGAACACCTTCAGGGAGGCAGTGATATTATTAAAATCTTGATATCAATAGGACATTTCTAAAACATGAGTTAATAGAAATTTTAAAATGTCAGAAGAAAAAGTTCTCACTGACCAGTAGGCAGTGCCATTCTTCTGGTGAAAGTCATCAAATGTATATAGATCTGAGCATGTACCACACTCACTGTGTGGGCTGAGGAGGGGCTGGTGAAAGCTGCTAGTGGACCTTTGTGGGACCTGGAAATCTTACCCTTGGAACCCCCACTCCCAGCACAGCAAACATTAATGTGAACCCCTGTCCCACATGAAATAACATCTGTGTCACTCCATAAGAAGAATTAAGCTGAGTGACAGTTGACCAGCTGAAGATACAATGCTTGTAGGCTTTAATTCAGTGTTTACAATTTTTATTTTTCCTATGGCTTCTTTTGGATCCTTTGTGTTTATTTTTATGCTTGTATTTGTTTCATGTCTTGGATAACTTCACAGCCTTAAACACTTTGCCCAGGATGACAGGTCCCTCTGAGACCTGTTCCATCCCTTACTCCCTGCCCAATCTCTCCTCTGGGCCATGATCAAGGATTGCATCCCACAGATGTCATCCCACAGACACCAGGGGGTTCCAGGCCACGACCAGCTGTAATGCCCCATGGAGACGCTGAAAGAGACAGAGGACAGCCCCACCAGGTAGAAGAGCCTCTCGAGAGGGCAACTCAAGGGAAGCACAAGCCGGAAGCTCCTATGTTCCCTCTGGACAGGAAGGAGAGATGCTCCCTGGCCCAGCCTCGGGCTGGTGGCCTTGTAGTAGGCACAGAGCCCTGCTGGGCCCTCCTTACCTTGCTCAAGGAGAAGGCTTCTGGGCTGTTCCTGTAGAAGGTTTCTTTGAATGAGCCCAGCCAGGCCTCAGCAATGCGCACCTTGTTCAGCAGGGTGGCCTCCTGGTCAAGTGAGACGCCATCATCCTGATTTGGGTAGATGTGGCCCACCCGAGAGCAGGGGAGGATTTCAACCGAGCCACCGCAAAGCCAGGCCTGCCGTAAAATGACAAAATACACACCTTGCACTCCCCTCCATGAATGTGGGATGCTGGGGGCCGGCGACATGCACAGGAAATCATGGGCACAACGTGGCAATGGTAGGCAGAGTTGTCAGAATGCAGCAGAGTTTCCAGACCTGGGAGTCCTGGGCCAGGATGGGGGTGGGGGTGCCACACGCATGCAACTCCCAGAACGTTCACCCTTGAAACACACGCACAGACTTAGCACTGGTGCAATGTGGCCCTGCGGGTCCGAGTCCCCTTAGGCTGCTTCCTCAGGTGAAAGGGTGCCCCTAGTGGCCGGTAATTTCTACAAGCTCCTGAAGTCTCCTGCTGTGAAGGCAGGAGAAGCTGTTTGTGTGGAGATGAAAGCAAGCGTTCCTTAGACAGCCTCTCCTACCTCAGCAGGGTCCTCCCCGCCTCCACGGACTCCCACGCCTACCCCCAAATGCCTAGAATGCATTTGACAGGAAGCCTTCACTGCACACTTGGGGATAAAGGCAAAAATGAAAACATGATGCAGCATATGAACTGAAACACACAGAGGCTGGGGTTCCCAGACTGTGTGCCGGGGTACCCCACGGTGCCCCAGCAACTCAAAGGGCCACCTGGGATAGTTTAAATGTTTGAGAGCAACATAGTGACATCTGCTGGACGTCCTGCAAACTACAAGCTTGAGGTAATTCATGGTTTCAGCATCCTATCCCTGCCCTTTTGATGGAGTAGATCTTTGCTGGATTGGGTTTTCAGAGGCTGCTTTGATGAGAAAGCAAGCATCGTGCTTTCACATGGCACAGGAAATGAAGGTGGTGGTGTCCAGTCTGATTCCAAGGTTAGAGAAGTGTGCAGTGCCCAGCAGGGGATAAGCTGTTCGAACAGATACTTATTAAGTTGGTTGGACCAAATTACTCAATATACAGAATGCTTGGGATTTGTTTTGGTCTGTGGGTGCGTGAGAAATTACTGAGATGCTAAGGCTGCTGTGAAAGAGAAGGTAGGGGAACGTCTGCACTGAGGTGTAGGTGACTGAGAATATGCCCGTTCCTGTGGGCAGGTTTGATAGTCAAGTTCCCTGGGGACGCTGGGGACAACATCAAGGCAGGGCACGAGAGATGGGGGAGGTGGAAGACATGGGGGGGTTGACGCTCCACATTCAGTGACTTTATAATTTCCCCGCAGACCAGTGGCATTTCTATTGGCTGTCTCCGAGCTGCGACTACACACACAGCTCCAGAGAGCCCCCCTGGGTCCGCCCTGGGTCCAGGGCATACCTTGAGAGACAGTTCGAGGTTTTCACTACCCCGCAGTGACATGAGAGAGTCATACGCTCCAGTGTTTTGGAAGTAATGTCTGTCCATGGCCACGACCCCGCCGGGCACCACAGGGCTCCTGGAGAGAGAAGACAGGAACAGACCGCAGCTCAGCACCCGGAGCACAGCAGGGAGGCTCAGATAGACCTCAATGCTTTTAATGGCAAGACTGAAGCAAAGCAACCATGTCAGGAGTCCCAGTGTTGAGCTGTGGTTGCCTGGGCCTTTTATAACCCATCCTCAGGTAGTGCTCCTATAAGGAGGACCACAGGCTACAGCTGAGGATCCCCTACCCTCTGGCTTGAGCCCCTCTGTTGAGGCCTTTGGAAAGAAGGCCATGGCTGAAACAAGATTCCCTAGGGCAGGTGTTACTAGGCCCAGACAAAGGGCAGCGATCAGCTCTGCCCTCCTCTGTCTTCCCTCCCGCTGACCTCCCCCTTCTGTTTGCTTCAAGACCATCCACCCAAATTCTGAGATAAATCTCCCAGGGACTGTAGATAAGTCCCGCCCACCCATGTTTAATGTTTAAATACTAACTTAAACACAGGAAACTAGAACCCCCGAGTAAGGGAATTAAGATAACAATAATATCCCTCAGAAGGATTTACTCAGGAAAAGGTGTAGCCAGAGGCTTTTGAATGAGTGTGTCCCTTCATTCAGGAACAATTTAAAAAAAAACAAACACAAATATTAATGCGGCTGAACTATAGATACGTCTCAAAATGTAAATGACTCAGAGTTCAGATTTTTTTTATTACCAAGAAAATAGTATTATATTAACCAAACTACTGACCTTTAGGTTATTAAAAATACTAAGTTATACCAGAATACTGAACAGTGGTACCGTATGTTACTTGATACAATTTCCAACTTTGCCACTTATATTTGTAAGACCAGGGTTAATTCCTGGAGGAGGAGGACCCAGTGCTTGTTGTTTGGGGACCTGAGCAAGGAGGGCACCTTGCCTGCCTCCCAGGTGGCTGCCCTGGGAGCCCAGGAGCCCCTCATCACCCTCTGCCCAGGAGATAGGGTCCAAGCAGCACCATGGGGTGCAAGGCAGAAGGTGGTGGGTGCAGCTCCTTGGAGGACCCAGAGCTGTCAGCCAAGCTGCATGGGCTATGGCATGGTGGGCAGAGAGGCTGAGGGACTTCGGCAGACAGTGCATGGAGGGCGGAGGGGCAGGCCGCAGGGGGCCAGGCACGCCAACCCCACACCAGAGGCATGACCAGTGAAGGCGCATCGTGGTGAACACCGATGCAGGGCAGCTTAAGCCCGAGGTCGGGCCCTCCCTCCCCACCAGTGCTAACCCCACAGAAGCTTGGAGCTCAAAATCAACTCTAGGGGGACAGGGAGAGGTAGTGGTTGCACAATATTGTGAATGCATTAAATGCTACTGAATTGTTCACTTTAAAAAGAATTAATTTTATGCTGTATGAATTTCACCTCAATGAATTATTTTTTAAAGGGGGGTAGGGAGATATAGCTTGCTTCATCTGGCTCCCTCAGGATACTTGCTCTAGGAACCCAGTGCAATGACCCCGTGGAGAGAGCAGTGGAGAAGTTCCCAATGAGGCCCCCACTGATGGCCAGCATCAACCTTCAGACATGTGACTAGCCTTCAGGAGACTCTAGCCCCCAGCTGTTGAGTCCTTTCCAGCCAGTCTAGTCTCGTCAAGTATGGTCCTGCTGAGGCCCCAGACACTACGGAGCAGAAACAACCAACCTTGGTGCTCCCTTTCAGAATTCATGACCCACACAGTCCATGAGCTTAAAAAAATGGTTGTTTCACAGAACTAAGTTTGGGTTAGATTTATTATGTGCCAGAAGATCTCTAGAACATCTACTTAAATACTGTAGTTGTCCAAAAACCAAATACTTGAGAAGCATCCCATAAAATCAAATATATTTTGATATTTATAGTGTCTTAGCCTTCAACTGTCTGAACTCTTCTTTTTTACTGAGAAAGGACCTGAAGCCAGGAAAATTTCAGTGTCACCTGGTGAGACAGAGCTAGGTCAAGATCCCAGCTCAGGTTCTGCCAGTCTCACCCTGGGGGAATTATTGATGGTATCTGGAAGAGCATCACTGGACTCCATCAATATGACAATAATGACACTTACAGCTGAGTGCCTGGTGCTCTCTGAATGCTTTTCATAGATTAATCATTTAATCTTTCTATATGCATCTTTTATTTTATTTTTCAAGGTGAAGGGATTAAGAAGTATATTAACTCATTCAGTCTTAACAACAGCCCTATAAGGTTTATAATCCTCACTGATGTATTATTGATGCAGATTCCCTCTGGGAAAATGAGGATAGGTAGCTCGCTTTTATCCTGAACATGCTCATTCAGTCTTTTATCCCCAATTTACTAATGTGGAAACTGAGGCACAGATTAAGTAACTTGCTGGGAAACTAGTGGAGCCCAGATGAGCTCCCAGACAGTCTGGCTGCCAAGCCCATCCCGAGGAACCAAAGGAGAAGTAGGCTCCATGATGGGGCCTCACCTGATGGGGCTGATGGGGGACAGGAGGGCTTTCCTTTCACTGTCCGACAAGGGCTCCCAGCGGAAATCCAGCTTCCAGTCCAACACACCCCGCTGCAGGTCCTTGGAGGGGTAATACTGGAAAGTCTTCCAGTCAATCGCATCTATGACTGGAGACACCACCCGGCTCCTGGAAAGAATTGTAGAATCAAATAAGGAAAGCAGAACCATTCAGGTGGGGGATAGAAATATAACCTATACATGCACTGCCCACCATGGCAGCCACCAGCCACATGTGGCTATTGGGTACCTAAAATATGGTCTGTTGAGATGTGGTGTAAGTAAGTATAAAATACACACTGGATTTATAAAACTTAGTATGAAAAATATTAAAAATCTCAGTAATTATTATATTGATTATATGTTGAAATGATAATGTTTTGGAGTATTGGATTTATTAAAACATTAAAATTAATTTCATGGGGGTTTTATTTTGTAATACGACTACTAGAAATGTTTAAATTACATGTGACTCATGTTATTGATCAGCAGTGTTCTAGAAAATATGTTTTTCCATAAGAAATTGGGGGCTCATTTCTTTAAAGAACATGCCTGCCTCTTTCTTTCTTTAAAAACCTCAGTTGACAGCACTGAGAATCAAGAGAAGGGGGTCCTTGGCTCAGCTCTGCCACTAATGAGCTGTATGACCTTGAGATAGCTGTTGAACCTCTGCGGGTCTCAGTTTCCTCATTTGTAAAATGAGAGGTTGAACTACTTCCCACAGAGGTCTTTCTCAGCTATAGTGCTCTAGGACTATGACCCCCCCCCCTTTTTTCTTTTTCACACAGCCTGGGATATAACCTCAGAGAGGGTGATGTGGGAAATTGGTACAAGTCAGAAACTTCACCTTTTAAATAAACAGGAAATCACTAAGATGTACCAGGAGCTGCTTTCCTCCTCTCCAGTATCTCAATCACATTTATTTTCTGGCCTCTCTCAACTTCTAAAATCTTCTAAAATCTGTGTCATTGGATGGGTCAGGCTTGAACTCAGGGGTGACTGGCAGGTACCACTCTAAGGAAAGTGAGGTTCCTGGAAGGAGAGATGGCAGCCTCGCTGTTTACACTCCCATCACTTTCCATCTCTGTGCCTTCCATCTGGGAAACAGCCAGGGCTGTCATAGGCCCAGACTCTATGGAGAGGGCCAGGGTGGTCCTGGAACTCAATTATCTGCTTTAATCTGTGGCCTTAGTGACTGTTGTTGGCATGAGAAGTCGTGGGGTTTATATTTAGAGCAAGAATCTTGATATGCTTTTCCTGCCCTTTTCACATTGTTCCTTCTGGAAGCTAAGGGGAACTTAATCTCTCTTGGTCTCCACTATTTTGGGGCATTGCCCTAAGAAAACTGAGAAGCAAGATCAAGGATGAAAGGAGAGCACCCAGTCCCCCCCCCCC